TGCATCTATTTTTTTTATGTTTAAAATCCCATCATAGGGGCATACCAAATTGTTTATAATTACCGCATACTCTTTGCAGTTTGAAGAAGACCATATCAAAAATGGAATGTTGGGGACCACTTTTTCAGATTTTTCGCTCGAGGTTGCATCAAAGCAAGATTAGCTGGCTTAAACTTATTAATTCCAACATTATTCTGTAGCATTGCAAATGTAATCTCTATTCTTTCTTGACAGCTAACAATAACAATAACCCTAAATTATTTAGCTTTGTATTTATTTTTGGATTCAAGCAGGTTTATGCCATTGTAACAGAATGGAGAACTGATGACATTTATTGTTTGGATAAATCAAACTAAAATTACGAATTCCAGTCGTTTTAAATAATAAACTAAATTCAGTTTATAAAACAAGTGAAGGTAAAAATACAATGAATCTGAAAAAAACGTTGCTACAAACGTTTGAATGAAAAAAAAACATTTCAAAACCTTTTCAAAATTCCATTTGGTTATTCCGTAAACCTATCATTCAAGTAAATGGTATAAAGTATCAAGTAAATGGTAATACAATAGCCCATGTACAATAAAAATATGTTCGTTATTTTTCTCACTAAATAACTGGTGGATGAATCCAAATAAACTAACAAAATATACATAACACCAATTTAAATAATAACACATACATAAACTCGAACAAGAAGTTTCCACAACCTAAAAAACATTACATTTAATACATTTAATACTACAATAAAGTATTAAACCAAGGCGTACACAATTGAGTCAAATGAAACCTTTACAAAAGCATATACTAAAAAAGTGCCTACTTGATTTAGACTCAGAACCATTAACTGTCAGTAGTAAAGCATGTAAAACCTGTGCCTTTAATTAAAGAACATTTCTCCCTCCCTGCACCGTAAAGTTGTTTGCTAGACTTGAGAAATGTAAGCAGCCAAGTTGTTTGACCTCATTTTGTGTAAGTCGTCATATTTAATAACAATTTTAAAATAACTGTGCACAAAGTTTACTTTGATATCAATATATCATGGTCCGATATAACTCGTAATATAATAGATTATAACACAATATAATCGTAGTATAGTGTATAAATAGGCCTAATGTTAATTGTAAAACCAAAACTAACCTATGTTGTAAATATGCTATTTTTTGGAAATTAAAATTTTGGAAAAATACTATTAAAATGTTATTTTGTGGAAGAAACTTTTTGATTCATTTTTAAGAATTAAAATCAATAAACAAAAAGTTACATTATCGCTCGGCTAAAGTGTGGAAATGATAAGATAATTTAGGACACCAGTTTTATAACACAAATAAAAAATAATCATCTCTTGCCCACTAATAGGATTTAATCAATTTTCTTGACAGACAAGTTTTTGCTATCTTGACAGATTATAGTCATTTGCAAGAGAACAACTTCCAACCAGTCTTTCCATAGCTACTGGCCAGTCAAGATGGAAGCATTTCTCTTTAACATCACCACACCGGTTATAGTCAGTGTTGTTTTAGTTTGTGTTTGTTTTTATCTGTGGTTAAGTACAAAATATCACTATTGGAAAGTGCGTGGAATACCATATTTAAAACCTGTATATCCCATTTTTGGCCACATGCATGATATTGTTTTTCTAAAGAACATAGTAGATATTTCTCACAGGATTTACAAAGAGACATCAGGACTCTCATATGTGGGGATTTATGCATTTCAAACACCAGTGCTGTATGTGCGGGACTTAGACTTAATTTCTAACATGTTAGTAAAGGATTTCCAATATTTTGAAGACAGAGGTTTTCACTTCAACTCCAGCGATTCACTAGGAAGAAATTTGATTCACCAAACCGGTCCGGACTGGAAGTATTCTCGCTCTAAATTATCTCCTTGTTTTAATGTGAACAGAGTTAAATCCATGCTACCAATTATGTTGGATAAAAGTAATGTTTTGGTGAAGAAAATAAAGCGGGACCAATCCAACAATAAACTGATAGAGTCCTGGGATACTTCCTTACGCTACACAACCGATGTAATCACACTGTGTACTATCGGGATTGATCCTGATTCTTTAACAAAAGAACAGGAACATTTCAGGGAAGCTGGTAGCCAACTTTTGGGAGTTCACTTTATTTATCATGTGTTTACCGGTTGTTTTTTCCCAAGGCTTCATAAATACCTAGGAATATCAGTTTGTAAAGCTAGGGTCAAGAGGTTTTTTCATGATGTTATCAACCAAATTATCGATTATCGTAAGGTCAATGGTGTTGAAAAGAAGGATTTTATACAGACGTTGTTACAGCTTAAAGAGAACTCTGATAGTGTCGATAAAAATATTCCAGGTATGTATTTCCTCTAAGAAGTTACGGTTTTGAAAGTTGCATAAACTAAGTTATTCAGTGCTGCTATTCTTACAAACAATTGTAAAAATGTTACTCCCAGTTTCTCCTTTAACATATCTTTATGGGTACTATTGATTATTAGCTCCACTGTTTCCTCAAAACAGAATAAGTAAAAGCAAACTTCGGTTTGGTAAATTTCCTTACTTTTAAAATCCATATTAGACAAAATAAAGAAAAGATAACAATATGAAACTCAAAGATTATACAATCTACTAACAAGTTATAGTTTTTAAATAAAGAGTAGTTTATTTTACTTTATAATATCTGAGGTATTCTCTGATATGAGGAAAAGTCAATAATATACTTAAATATAACTATAACCACTCAAACAGTGTGTATGACTAGGTATCAAATCAGCTAAATATGACTGCATCTTATACGGTACGGCCCCTCCTCCAGAAAAGGGGTTTCTCACTTTTTTATGTAGAACAATGTATACAACTTAGGCTATTGTATCTAAAAAAAAACAATTGAAATAGTTTTTTATTACCGTTCACAAAATTTAGCCAGTTTAAGGGGAAGTTTCAGTTAAGTGTGATCAAAGTTACTGTATGTATGTTGCAGCTGATTGAAATTTGGGAAAACCTCAGCTGTTGAGATATTAAATTAAAGGTAGGATCAAGTGGAGGGGATAGGTACACATAACTATACCGGGTGTCCAAAAACACCCGTACACCCCTTTCAAAATGATGGAAACCTTTTCTTACAAACAAAAAATAATACAGAACTAGCTAAATTGGGCACGGTCTACCAAATGATGATAATTTCAAATCCAAAATCACACCGGAAGTGGATTTTTCAGACCGGAAGTTGATTTTTTTTAATGTAAACTACCAGTTTTGATCACAGAATCGGATTTTACGTTGAAAAATACATAACTTTTGCCTAAAACATTTTTTGAAAAAACTTGTTTTCTAGGTCTAATCCCCCATTAAAGTCAATAATTTTTGGTCATTCGTGTGTCAAAGTTACTTGAAACAATAATAGAGAAAAACAAATAACAAAGATTACAAAGACATATGATAAATAGAATCAGCTGTTTATTTTAAACACCTTAGCAATTGAGTATCAGCTGGTCTACACATTGCTTAGTTTAATTTTTTTTATTATTAATTTTTGCATTTGACCCCTTAATGTAAAAACAAATGATTTTTTTTTTAATAAAATGAAATTAAGCAATGTGTAGACCAGCTGTTACTCAAGTGCTAAGGTGTTGAATGAACAGCTGATTCTATTTATCACATGTCTTTATGTAATCTTTGTTATTTGTTTTTCTCTATTATTGTTTCTTGACAGATGAATGACAAAAAATTATTGACTTTAATGGGGCATTAGAGGTAGAAAACAAGTTTTTTCAAAAAATGTTTTAGACAAAAGTTATGTATTTTTCAACGTAAAACCCGATTCTGTAATCGAAATTGGTAGTTTACATTTAAAAAATTCAACTTCCGGTCTGAAAAAGCCACTTCCGGTGTGATTTTGGATTTGAAATTATCACCATTTGGTAGACCGTGCCCAATTTAGCTAGTTCTGTATTATTTTTTGTTTGTAAGAAATGGTTTCCATCGTTTTGAAAGGGGTGTACGGGTGGTTTTGGACACCCGGTATAAAGTTTGTGAACAGAGTATAGTTAAAAAGTATTAGCCAAAAATAAATATTTGTTTTTACCTACTGGCAATAATTATTTAATTGTAGTAAAATTTGTTCCTCGTTATGATATTAAAAAAGTCTTAATTCATAAAACATTTGTCATACAATTTTTAGCATCAACATTACTCCTCTCAGAATAAGTAATAGAATAAACAATCTCTTTGGTCGCTTCATAAAAGCAAAGAATTGATAGAAGGCAGTAAACAAACCAGTGAAGCAAAGGTTCTCTGTGAAACAGGCTTTCTTTATCCTTTAGCTAAAATCATTGTACATATATTGCACAAAACTATTTCTTACTAATCAGTTAATTTTACTGCAGCAAAAAGAAATTTTACATAGTTTAGGTTTGGAAAATATATTTTTTCAGGGTTTTAGAAAACCCTAGAGTTCATTCATTATATCTAATAGAAGAAAAACCTTGTAGATGTTTAAGGGTTGCATTAGATATTATAATTTAAAATAGAGTATAAGTACAGGGGGATTCTCAAGGCAAATTTTAATTTTTTGAATCTTTTAATAACAATCTTTTAATAACATAATCTTTTTATAACACTTTCATTACTTTTGGTGATCTCTTGGTCATTAGTGTGAACAAATATTGCTATGGAACACATAATTGGTTTGGTTGTTACATCCAGTAGACTACGAACAAAGACTTCAATAAAAAAAAAAAAAAAAAAAAAAAAAAAAAAACTTTGGGTCATGTGTTATTTTATTTTTTTTGTAAAATTTTTAATTTATATGACGAAAGATCTACACGATAATTGCGCGCCCTCCCCCTTCCTCACGGGTAATTTTTCCCTTCCTTGTACGGCTAACAAAACTAAAACTTCTTCCGAACCTGAGCCCAGGCCCACTCCATTTACTAAAACGGTCCTAATGGTCGGTGTACTAAGTATTCTTAAATAATAACGCTAAGGTTTACTCATAAATAATATTTTCCTTTCACAGAAATAGACGATAACTACGTGGTAGCTCAGTCGTTCATATTTTTCCTTGCTGGGTTTGAGACTCCTGGAAATATCCTAGCTTGTGCCCTGTTCGACATAGCTAAGCAACCGAATGTTCAGCATGCGTTGTGCACCGAGATAGTTCGAGTGTTGAAGAAACATGGAGGTCAGATATCTTTTGAGGCTCTGCAAGATATGAAGTACATGAAGCAAGTAGTATCAGGTATGTTTCTAAAATGAAAAGCTTAGCAACGCTCAGGAAATATTGAAAAAACAATTTCTCTCTAATAAAAATTACATTTTATTTAACACTATCTTGTACCCATGGCTTCGCCTACAATGGTATAACCATCATACAGCATAAAAAATAAACAGATGATTACAATCTAAATCAAAACAAGTTACCCTACTGGATGTTTAAAGTTTTCTAATTTTTGTTTACCGTATAATTCCTGCAATATGGGTGCTTGTGTTTGCTCAACGGGAACCATTTGGTTATGCATTGTTGTATGAATCTATTTCCAATTTGATTTTTTTTTTAAACAGCCTCTACTTGAATGTATAAACTTTGGGTTTTCTTCCATCCTTAGAGCCATGCACACATTCCTATAAACGGTTGTTAAAAGTAATCGTTCTTGAGTTTGCCACTGAGGGTGTGGTGAGGTGAATTACTCATTACTGTCATTGTATGCTATTTTATTGCTGGAATTTTATGCTATTCTACATACTATACAATACCACTTGGGAGAAAATTTAATTGTTGACCAAAGCGCACTCTGTCAGTTGATCATAGTTATTTATGTTTTTTCCAATACAAAAATGGATACAGCTAGTCAATATAGATGGGGTGTCTATTTTAGTATCAAAAAGTCAATACACTTTGTTACTCATACTCATGTGGACTTTGATGCTTATAGATTGCGGCAAAGCTAATCCAGTATAATTATATTCTTCTCTCTAACTATGTTACCAATATCCAAATTCCTACCCTTTTACTACCACCCTGATTTTACTAAACTCACACCTTAAACATAAGCAAGAGTATACCGTCTTTTCAAAAGGAAAAATATACCGGTAACATATTAGGATATAAAATTCAATAAGTGTATTTTTCTAAACAGAGGCTCTTCGCAAGTATACTCCTCTTCCTTTGATCTTCAGACGCTGCACCAAAGACTATTTGATCCCTGGAACCTCCAGTGTGATAGAGAAAGGGACCTTGATCCTTATACCTCTAAGGAGTATCCATATGGATCCTATGTACTATCCGGATCCAGAGGTCTTTGATCCTGATCGCTTCTCGGATGAAAACAGCGCAGCTAGACACATCGCTGCATTCATGCCCTTTGGCATCGGACCAAGATTCTGTCCAGGTAAATACCTGTCCAGGTCCACAAAAGTTTAGTACAGTTTCATTTTAAAGCCATAATGTTATTTTTCATCGTATGTTCTACCTGTGTTGGTTGTACCAATCACAGTTGTGTTGTTCATCTGATTAGATTTTGTAGGTTTAGATTTAAATTGTATCCATAGCAGATACAATGGACGAGGCTGTCCAACAAATTAACCTAACATGTTCCCAACTTCACCCAGAGTGATTTGTTCTTATAGGATAAATAAATTATTTCGCCTGCAAAAACAAAAAAACAAATACCTCAGTTGATGCAGTTGACGATCTCTATAAATAAAACGGAATTTTACCATCCATAAGTAAAACATACACAACACAACACAAAAGTTACATGAGCTACTTCTTCCAAGGTTGAATATGCAATAGCTCCTAATAATAATAACATAAATGAGTAAAACTTGTGAGGAAAAATTAAAAAAAGGAGAAGCCTCATAATCACATGTACACTTTAAAAGAAGCATCATAAACTACAGGGTGTTCCATGAGAACATTTGATTTTGAACAAATCAAATTCAACTGAAAACTACTTAAATTAGATTATATACATAAGAACATATATTCCATAGCACCAATTAATTCCACATATTATAGGTACTTTTGTTGGTTAAATCATAGATATAACATACTCCTATGGTTAAATATTCTTAAAGATTAATTTTAAATCTGTCCAAATGAATGTCCCTCTAAATTGGCAGGCAGTTTTTGTTTAAAAACAATCATTTGTTTGTTTGTAGCCTAATATTTACAATATTGTTTTTAAAGTGAATAATTAGATATGTCTCTGTTAGATTGGTACATTAACTTTAGTCTTATTAAAAAGTAAGACAAACTGCAGAGAACTATTTCTATAGTTCGACCGCTTAGAAAGCGACCTGCGCGCTAATACTAAACCAATGCTAGAGGAGGTCGCTTTCTAAGCGGCCCAACTATAGTCTCTTCCTAATACATAATAATATGATTTATGAGATTTTACTCATTGGATCCTACAATACACATAAAAGTTAACTGAAATTAGGATGGATTTGATTTAATAGTTTTACAATGTGTGTCAGCAAATTTTATTTTTTCAGCTGTTCTCTACTCCTACATCAAGATAAAGTCAGCCTTAGCCCATATTTTGAAGCAGTTTGAAGTTTGTTTAACTGAAACTACTCCTCAAAAACTTGAGTCCAGTGCTGTTGATTTTCTCTTCGCTCCTAAAAATGGAATTCCACTTAAGTTTCAGCAGCGGGAAAAACCTCTTCTCTAGTGTAAAATTTGCATTATTTGTTCTGTTAATAAGACTGTTCTGTAAAATATTTATAACTTACATTTTTTACAGAACAGTAAGTTTAATTCATTTTAAATAGTGATATAATAAGGATTAGAAATAATTCTTTTTGAAATGTTTACCTTATTTTACTGCCTATTAAAGAATGACTATTATAGTGGTGTATTATTTAAATTTTCATCTTCAAAAATAATAAATAAATAATCAATTAATTTTTTTTCTTGAAATGCATATTTTTGATCATTGTTGTAGTTACTACCTCTCTTTATTCACAGTACCCTAAGATTTTATTTTACAAATCTTTTAGGCTTAGTAGTAACTTAGCAGCAATAAATTTCGCTAATTAGGTAATTAGTTAGTTTAAATTACACATTTAATTTCAAAGCTGTACTCAAATTTGTATGAGAGTTTTAAATTAAACATCCTTAAACAGCACTCTTGAAGTGAAGAGTAAGAGAGTACCAATAACTTTTTAGTGGAAAAAATTAGTACACATACATCATGCATTTTATTTATTTTGATCACTGGTTTCATGGATCAATGAATTACATATTATCTCTGTTGGATTTGAAAATGTAAAGCTATTAATAACTCAAGTACTTAAAAAATTGATTTATCTATATTCTGTTTGAATAAAACATAGTATATAACTGGTAGGCTTAATTAGCACTGTATACAAAAATAATGGTTCTTTGTGTTGGTGAAATTAAAGTTAATGAAAGAATAAATTGTTGTAAACTCTTTTATTGTCTTACAAACACAACACTAAATTATATTTAGTAAACAACTTCATATGTACAATGTAAAAACATATGATGGTCCATCACTAATCCAGACTAGATGAGTTGGGTTGCAATATTCAACATCCCCCCTCACCAAACTTAGCTAGGTAAAAGTCCTAGGCACTTTTGAAATTTGTGATGTTTTGGTTTGCTTAGTCCTTTAGTAAAAATATCAGCAACGATGTATTCTGTGGGTTGGTAGTTCAATTTTATTTCTCCATTTTGTACTTTTTCCCGTATAAAATGTTCTCTGATACTGATATGTTTAGATTTACTTCCTATAATGGAGTTTTTAGCCATTGTAATACCTGATTGGTTATCACAAAATATTTCAATGTCTTCTTGAGGTCTTCCCATATCATTAATCAATTGTTTTAAATGAATGGCTTCTTTTGCTGCTTCAGTTAATGACATGTATTCCGCTTCACTCGTAGACAGAGCTACAGTCCTCTGCTTTTTTGATTCCCAGGAGATTACAGCACCGCCAAATTTAAAACAGTAGCCGGTGTATGATCTCCTGTCTTCACTGCATGCCCAATCTGCATCTGCTGCTCCAATTAATGGCTTTCCTGTTTTGAAAAATTCAAGACACAAGTTCTTTGAGCCTTGCAAATATCTGAGAACCCTCTTTGCAGCAATCCAGTGTTCTTTTCCAAAACAAGAGTTATATTGGCTCAGGTAACTCACAGCATGTGTTATGTCAGGTCTTGTGGCTATTGACAAATACATCAATGAACCGATTAAATTTTGGTATGGGTAGTTACAATCTTTTTCATGTCCTTTAACCAATTTTAGACCTGGTGTTAGTGGAGTTACAGCTGGTTTGCAGTCAGTCATATTGAATTTTTTCAGGACTTCATTTATGTATTTCGTTTGTGACATTGATATCCTTCCATTCTTTCTTGTGAACTCTACCCCCAGACAATAGCTTAGTTCACCTAAATCTCTCATTTCAAAAGTTTTCATGAGCTGGGCTTTGATGTAATTGCGGTACTTTTGGTTCTTTGTAGCAATTAAAATGTCATCTACATATACAGAGATTATTGATTTGCATCCACCTACTGTTGAAATGTATATACAAGGATCAGCTTGAGATGGTATGAATTTCAGTTCCTTTAGTTTTTCATCAAGCTTCATATACCACTGTCTTCCTGATTGCTTTAAACCATAAACTGCCTTTTTTAGTAGACAAACCTTTTTGTTTTGAGCATTTTTTAAGTCAGTAATCATTTTCTTTGTTTTGTTGAATAGTTATTTATCTTCATTTTCACTCTCATCCACCATTATTTCTTGGAGGTATCCCCCAAAGTTGTTAGGAAGTTCCATGTAAACTTTTTCTTTTATTTCTCCATTTAGAAAAGCAGTTGAAACGTCCATTTGATCAATACTTAGATCATCTTCAACAGCAAGTCCAAGCATAAGTCTTATTGAACTTAGCTTTGCTACGGGAGCAAAAGTTTCATCGTAGTCAATGCCTGGTTTTTGTGCAAATTCTTTTGCTACCAATCGTGCTTTTCTTCTTTCTAGCTCTCCATTTGGTTTTAGTTTCTTCTTTAATACCATTTTACAACCAATTACATTAATTTCTTTGTTTCTATCCTCAAGCACCCAAGTTTCATTTTTTAAATGAGCTTTTATTTCCTCTTTTATTGCTTCATTCCATTCCCCTGAAGATCCTAAAGTTGAATCTTCATTGCAAGTAGCTGACATTTGATAATCTTTTGTCCAAAGAGGAGGTTTTCTTTGCCTTTTCTGTGATACCCTTATTTCATCAGTGTCTAAATGTTCATTTGAGCTTAGTGAGTCATCAGGTTGATTTTCAATATCATTTGAGCTTGGTGAATCATCAGGTTGATTTTCAATATCATCTTCGAAAATAATATCATTTTCCATTTCACTGTCATTTTCTTCAAATATAGTGTCAAAATCAGACTGGTCATCATTATTTTCGCTCTGTTCAATAGGAATAATGCAAAAATCTTGATCTTTTTTATCACTTTCTTTTATTTCGTTTTGCTCAAAAAGATTGTAATCATTTACATCTTTATTTCTTTCATAGTACATTTTTGATAGAACTTTTACATCTCTTGCAATTTTAACCTGCTTTTGTTGCGGCATCCAAATTCTGTATGCTTTTGAATTGCTTGCATACTCCACAAATATTCCTTGATCCGCTTTCGGATAAAATTTTCCTTTTCTTGAAGCTTTGTTTAATACAAATACTTTTGATCCAAATACTTTCAAGTGTCTTGCTGAAGGCTTTCTTCCAGTCCATTTTTCATATGGCGTTAAGTGTTCAGTAGCTTTTGAAGGGCATCGATTTCTTATATAGTTAGATGTGTTAATAGCTTCAGCCCACATACATCCTGGTAGATTTGATTCTATCAGTAAACATCTTGCCATATCCAATAATGTTCTATTTTTTCTTTCAGCCAAACCATTTTGTTGCGGGGTGTATGGAACTGTTAGTCTTCGCCTTATACCACTTTCTTTCAAGAACTTGTCAAATTCACCATTACAATATTCTTTGCCGTTATCTGTTTGCAGAAACTTGATTTTATTTCCTGTTTGATTTTGGACGACAGCTTTCTCTTTTTAAAAAATCACTTTAAATCCTTTGTCTGTTATTTTACTGACACTCATTAGATTTGTTGCCAAGTCTGGTACAAACAGAGTGTTATTCAAACGGATGATTTCAGAATTTTTTAATTCCAGTGAAACCGTTCCTGTTCCAGAAACGTCAGATGTCTTTCCTTTAGAAGCAAGTTTCAAAATTCCGTTTGAATTTTTGATATCTCTGAACTGTGATTTCTCTCCACACATGTGCGATGTACATCCACTATCAATACACCAATCAGATGAAGTAGAACCTAAAATGTTCAAATTTGAAGAGAAACATTCAGCCTCTGCTTTAAAACTGTTTCCCATTTGTTTGGATCTACAGTTTTTGGCTTTGTGTCCGATTTTTCCACATCTAAAACATTTAACTTTGAAACCTACTTTTGTAGTGTTGTTCTCATCTGGTTTCTTATGACTATAAGTGTTGTGAATACCTTTCTTGGAGTTGAACTGCTTTGTTTTGCAATACAATGTATCTTCATTATTCGTACAAGTGTCTTTTGACCTAGCTTCACTCTCCTCAATTACTTTTATTTTTAAATCATTAGGAGAAGGTAAAGTGTCTCTAGACTCAATTGCTACGCAGAAATTTTCAAATGATGATGATAAGCTGTAAAGTAGCATAATGCTAAGTAAGTCTGAATTGATAATTATGTCCATTTCTTGAAGTTTGTCAACAATCTCCATAAATTTGTTGACATGATCCCTAGCATCTTCTCCATCTTTCATTTTATGAACTATTAACTGCTTTAATAATGTGGCTTTCCTTGCAGGACCAGAACTTTGGTAATTGTTCTGCAGGCAATCCCATACTTCTTTGGAAGTTTTGCAGTTTTTTACTAATTTCAATTCACTAGGTGAAATTATCAATATTAGTTCTGATTTAGCTTTAAGATCTTTAACTATCCAGGCATTCTTACCAACTTCATCCTCAGGACATTTGTTCTCCCCAGATACATATTCCATTATGTTTTGTTGGATTAATATAGCTTCAGCTTGAATTTTCCAAGTGTCATAATTATTTCGTTTCAAAGGTTCAATTCTATAGCCAAAACTCATTTTACTTATTTTTAAGCACAGAATACTGTAAAATGATTATTTTAATATTCCAAATGGCCCATAACCTTTGTTGGTGAAATTAAAGTTAATGAAAGAATAAATTGTTGTAAACTCTTTTATTGTCTTAAAAACACAACACTAAATTATATTTAGTAAACAACTTCATATGTACAATGTAAAAACATATGATGGTCCATCACTAATCCAGACTAGATGAGTTGGGTTGCAATATTCAACACTTTGAATTACTGTACCTTTAAACTAGTGGCTTGTAGTGACAATATCCCCTATATATATTCTAGTAATTATTTTTTACAAATTATTAGTCTCATCGGTTACCCTACCTTGAATTATCGTTTAACATTTTTGTATAGGTATTATAATAGGTTTAATAGTTATTACATACCTGCATAATGAATTTTTATGTCTGCTCTGTTTTAAATAAAAATTCCAAAGGAATGTTCTTGCGGTGTGTTTCTAATATAAACTTTATAATCATAATACAGCCAAGGAACATTT